AATATACAGGAAAAATCAGAAATACCAGCAAAAACGAATATATATATAAAGTGAAATTTGTTTTTCCTACCTCCACCTCCACCCTTTGGGCACTCGCGGCTCATATGCCCTTCTTCACCACATTTGAAACAATTTCGACCACCTATTTATTTAAAAAAAAACAAAAAAAACAAGCCATGCATGGCACAAGCCAGTTAGTTAAAATTTAAACTAAGATATATAGTTTTATTTATAGTAATATAGTTGGAACATAAACATGCCAGAGATATGGATTCAGAAGCTGATGCTTGATTATGATGAACATTAAAATGATCAACATTCAGCCATCTTGTATCTGATCAAACGAGTACTTGTCCATATTGAATACATCTGTAACATGATGTATAACTAATATATAAAATTTGAACATAATCAGTCAAAGCATGGCAGATATATGGTACGAGAACTGCAGATGGCCATTTTTAATCTGATCTGAATAACAAAATGATGTGCATCAATGTCTCATAAATGCCCAACGTAATGCATCAAGTTTGAGCAAAATCCATCCATAAATTGCTTGATATTGATTTTTTGGGAGCAAAAATGGCCACCATTTGGCCATCTTGAATCGATGTGCATATGTATGATATTATGTATGATGTATGTGTGAAGATTGAATGTGATTGGTCCAGACATGTCTAAGATACAATTCCGGACACACAGACGCACAAAGGTCAATTCATAAGTCGTTTAAACTAAAAATGAATCCAATTTTTTTGTTTCTCATTTCAAGTAAAGTGTTAGATTACCTCCGCCACCTTTTGGACATTCTCGGCTCATGTGACCTTCTTCCCCACACTTGAAGCAACTTCTGTCACCTGTTTGTGAGGAAACCAAAAATGATGTTTACAAAATAATCCTGAGATTTTGTTTTAACTTTGACACATCATAGATGAAGCAAAAGGAATAAGGAAGGGGGAAGAGGTGTTTGAAGTGACTGTATCTGATTCCTAAACTTAGCACTACAATGTAACAATTCAGGCAGTAGAAATTCTTGTGCATGTAATAAACAGAGTTTAATGGTACCTGCTATCAAAAAGTTATTATACATGTATAATGGAGATACCCAGCACGCAGAATATTGTTTGGTTGCATGTATGTATTGGTGTCTAAAAACTAACTCTGCGACGCGATTGTGCAACTCGCCGAATGTCAATTATTGCACTCTGCGACAGGATCGCAGTGTCACTCTGCGAAAAGCACGATTCCTATTGGTTGGTTGGTCGAACAGCGCGAATCCCAATGGTCGATGTTCACCGCAGGCCTTATAAAAAATTAAGTTTTAAATGGTAAAAAAGGTACGGTAAAAATAGTGTGTAAACACTATATACCGGCGACATGCGGCACTGTTCGGTGATCGGCAAGCACATGGAAGACAAATTGTGGGACCAAACAAATAACACATGATTTACGGTTTTTAGACACATCACACCGCTGGCTAGAAAAATGAAATAGTGTAACGTGCACGTTGGTTTTGACTGCCTATTTAATACGGTGTTACGTTTTGCATTCTTGGAGTTGTAAGGCTTCGTCCCGATGACTATGCTCATTAGTATAGACGACAGCTTCAAAGTGAGTGGAACGCGAAGTACTTTTCACGCGTTCTGCAACGAAGGTTGTACGTCTTCTTTGACTTTGTTGAGTGCATCAAGGAAAATAATTTGCATGCAGTGAAAAAAACAAGACATTCACGACGTGCAACGTTTGCCATGACAGCAGTTGTTTGCAATCGTCTGCCTTCGTTTAGATCATAAACGGACTCAAGACTTGTGGTCTACGATCGATCAGCTGGTATTTTAACCACCAGAAATGAAATACTTTTTAACAGTTGTGAAAAGTAAACAAAAACTGCGTTGGTTTGTGGTATGAATGTAATTATTTTTGTATCATAATATTCGAAGTCAGTATTACTGAAAATTATGGTTTATTTTTTTAAATCAACGCCAAATTTCGGTGGGTCATATTGATCTTAATGTAGCGGGAAGGGAAGTTCTTTTTTCTTCTTGATTTTCCAATAATTGATAAAACGGTTACTTTGTACCTTGATTCATCATCCCAGCTTTTCGAAATTTCGGAAAGACCAGTGCTCAAACGCTAACACTACTATCGTTTCATTAATATTTGGACAATGTTTATGCCATGTATATGTATACTACAGGTTATACTCTGTTGTTGACGATTCTGATAGAATGGGTGACTAGCTTCCTGTCGCAAACAATGCATATTTATCTAACGACCATTGTCAGCATTGTTACAGTCAAGACTTCATCTGAGAAATCGGTTCTAAATTTTCTAAGTCTATATTCTATTTTAATAACACCATCTTACTATCGCAATGACAATAAAAAAAGAAAGCAAAGACGCCAATGACAGACGAGGCAATAACAAATCTGCAACTCAGGGTCATATTTACTAATTTAGACTTGCCTGCAGCCTGTTGTGATTATGATGCAAAATTACAGGACTTTCGCGTTCACCCTTCGTTTATGCAATTTATATTTATTTACAGCAATTCCAGGCAATGATTTGACGCTGAAGTAGTGCTAGATGTTGATAACTTACTACAATACATTACACACTTTGTTTTCAAATTTACAGAAGTTGTTACAAATAATGCAGACAGTATGTCTTGCAATTTGAAGCGCACCGCAAGAAAGCTCCGCCCATAAAAGTGGCGGTACAATAGTTTTGAATTTCTCTTTCAATAAACGATCGTGGCTCTCAACTTAGTTTCGTACTTCAATTTGCGTCACATGTTTTTTCAGTGAGAGGGGCACATAAAGTGGTGGCCCTGTAAAGAACGTTATTTTACGGAACCAGCTGACCGACTGATCATGACAGAATTATTGATCAAAGTGCATTATTCCTATTATGCCATGGAAATATTCGTTATTCGATTATTAGTTCTCAACGATGAGAACCAAAAGGTTGATGTGCCACCAAATACTCGCTTTACAAAGCTTATCACTGGCAACACACGATCACATGTCCGGGGAGGGTTGCCCGTACAGAGTTTTTGTTAATTTCAGTCCGTAAATGCGCGGTCGCAATGTTTTATAATATTCGACATAGTCTATAACGTTGTCAGTTTCCTGGCAGGATACTCTCGGTGGTAACAAACCGTTTGACGATATTATAAGCTGTCTGCTTTGAAACACCATTTCGATCTCCAATCTCAGAAAATGACAGTCCACGAAAATACAAATCGACAACTCTTGTTCTCACTTCAACTGTTTTTTTAACTCCTTGCTTCTCCATCGTGGTGCTTAAACAATATGGACAAATGCTGATTTATAGACACTCAATCATCGACACGATGACTGACCAAAAGTGAATGAAAGACAGACGCGCCTCAAAGTCTAGGTGTACCTGACTTTGTAGCAAAAAAAGAAAACATTGTGGGCAATATCTGTCAATCATTACTCTGATTTGCAGTCTATGTTTATATTTCTAGTTACAACTTCTGTGAATTTGAAAACAAAGTGTGGAACCTATTGTAAGTTATCAACATCACTACTTCAGCGTCAAATCAGTGCCTGGAATTGCTGTAAGAATTTTTCATCGGAATCGCAACAAATAGCAAGCACGTCAAGGTCATATTATGACCAACCTCGCGAGTGGTTCGAAAGGGACGATTAGGCTGAAATATTCGCATCAACGCGAGAGTTTCAACTACTTGAGGCCGGTGATCAGACGAGGAAGTGAGTACAGGAAATCTGTTGCTTGTCGACATCGGCAAATAAACAAAGCCATCGTTTCCGTTTATGCAGAGAGCGTGCACTCATCTAATTTTCCGTTGACACTGCCGTTTTACTAGTAGTTTTCCATCTTCAGCAGTAGTTTCAATCCATTCACACAGCTTTACGTTTTTTCTCTTTTAATATTCTTAATAAAACGATATTGATTGCCTAGAAACAGTTTGACCTGCTACACGCTTTATTTGGGAATTCAAAGTGAGGAATATAGTCATAACAAATTATACTTGCTAATGACAAAAAAAAACAACAAGAAAGTAACATCGGGTGGGATTGTGTGAAACGTAACATCGCGCTCTACTCGCTTTGAAGCTGCCGCCTATGCCAATGAGCATAGTTGCGGACGAAGCCTTACAACTTCAAGATGGTGTTAATGTTACCAGCTCCCTGATGTTACATCGTAATAAGACACCCAACACCAATGTGTATGTGTTTTGTAACCCCTCTCATCCCCTCCGGGGGATATTATACATGTTAATAAATCAATGTTAAATACTTGCTGATTACCGAACCGTGCGACATGTCGTCGGTAAATACTTGTTTACCGCAGTCGGCGAAATAACCATTTAAAACTGAACATTTCTATAAGGCATGCTGTGTACCCTTACATCGACCGACCATTGAGATTCACGCTTTTCGACCAACCAACCAATGGGAATCGTGCTCTTCGCAGAGTGACACTGCGATCCTGTCGCAGAGTGCAATAATCGACATTCGGCGAGTCGCACAATCGCGTCGCAGAGTAAGTTTTCAGATCCCCATACATACAACTCTTGGTTGACATAAATTGGAAAATTGTTTGGTTCATGTAAACTGGAAGATAGTTTGGTTCACGTAAACTGGAAGATTGTTTGGTTCACGTAAACTAAAAGATAGTTTGGTTCACGTAAACTGGAAGATTGTTTGGTTCACGTACCCTAAGATAGTTTGGTTCACGTAAACTGGAAGAATGTTTGGTTCACTTAAACTGGAAGATTGTTTGGTTCACGTAAACTGGAAGATTGTTTGGTTCACGTAAACTGAAAGTTTGTTTGGTTCACGTAAACTGGAAGATTGTTTGGTTCACGTAAACTGGAAGATTGTTTGGTTCACGTAAACTGGAATATAGTTTGACTCACCTAATTTGGAAGAGTTTGGTTCACCTAAACTGGAAGATTGTTTGGTTCACATAAACTGGAAGATTGTTTGGTTCACGTAAACTGGAAGAATGTTTGGTTCGTGTGAATTGGAAGAAAATTTACTGGTCTACTGTAAAATACTTTATTTAAGTTGGAATTAATTTATGCTGAAAAGATCTTTTGAGCGTTTTTTATCAAATTTATTTTCACTAATTTTTGACTAGTTCAATGTAAAATATAGGAAAAAAGGTATATTTGCTGGATTTTAATTCCACTGAAACATTACTTCAGCGAAAATTAATTCCAAGTGAAAATAAAGTATTTTACATTATGAAGAATTGATTTACCTCCACCACTACCACCACCACCTCCTCCTCCTCCTTTTGGGCATTCTCGGCTCATATGTCCCTCTTCACCACATTTGAAGCAGTTTCGTCCACCTGGTCAAAAAATTTAAACACAAAGATAAGGCCAAAAAGAATTGACAACACAGTCCCTGTTCTGTATTTAATGCAAAATTCCTTCACTAGCAGTGATCCAGAAGTGCGGGTATATATTTGAATAAATATGGTCGTTATGCGATTTATTATAATGGGCTGAACAGATTTGATTGAATCATTAAACGAGCGACCTTGCGATTGAAAGAACTTGTGAACTGTAAAAGTTGACGGATGACGACAGGTCCAGTAAACCCACGAGCTCCACTCGGTCATCCACTCAATGACAGTGGAGCTAAAAAATACAAGTCATTGAAAATGACACAGTCCCTGTTAAGTTCTCTTTGTGCTTGTCATATTAAAGCGGAGGGGTTGTCGCGAGTGTGTCCTTGAAACTTGAGTTCCAAGTGACGTATACAACAGATTGTTTATTTACATCAAAACACTTGTTTCGTGTCATAGTAATATAGCAAAAATAAAAACAGCCGTTATTCAGCCATCTTTGATCTGATTATGAAACACACTGATATGTATGATGTATGTGCCAAATACGAATGAAAATGGTACATAAATTGTGGAAATATAGTAGTAAGGCCAACAAGCAGCCTATCGGCTGAGATAGCTCCGCTGTTAGCAATGCACATTTCAATTAAAGAACTGAAGACATCATTAGAAAATGAACAATATGAATAGTGTCAAAGCAATCGGACTTACAGTTTAGACTAATAAATAAGCCAAATATCATCAAAAATACATTGCAAAGAAATTAAATGCCCGCTGGCGGGATCCTGACATTGAACATCGTCGTCAACGATCAGAGGCCGACCCGTTGTATAAAATCAACCCATGGCTGAAACCCGTACTCGAAAATTGTCGGCGATATTATCAGATGGGACAGGAAATTTAGATTGACGAGGGTATGGTGAGATTCAAGGGAAGGTCCATGTTTAAGCAGAGATTACCCCCACAAACCCGACCATGATGGCTTCAAAATATGGCAGGTGTGCGACTCGACAACGTCTTACATTGCGAACTTTGAACCATATTTGGGAGTGAAATATAAAACTACCAATGAGGGAAGAAAGAAAGAAACTGGGACAATCAAGAAGACTGTGCACTGGTTGTTACAGCCCTTCACAGAAAAAAACCTTATTCTTTTCTGTGATTCGCTTTTTACCTCAGTTAACACAGCCCTTGAATTACAAGACAAGAAAGTGTACATGGTCGGTAGTTTTAGCAGACGAAATCGTAAAACCATGCCACCGCAATTAATTCCCGAGGGGAAAAGCAAGAAGCTGAAGTTGAAAATTAGTGAAATGAAAGCAGCAACTAGACCGGACGACACTATCAATATTACTGCATACCAAGATGACAGCGCACAGATATTAATTTTAAATACGGTCTACCCCCCGCTGGCTACTTCGGCAGAAGCAGCAGATGACGTGAGATGCGAGCCTGTATCGTTACAATGTTACAGACAACACATGGGTGGCGTGGATCGGTCTAACCAAAGGCGAAAATACTATCACACGGGCAGAAAAAACAATCGTTGGTGGATCTACATGGCCTGTTACCTCATAGATGTTGCATAGGTCAATGCTTATGAATGTTTCAAGGCAATGAATCGGACGACTAAAGTAACGCACAAATTCTTCAATATTCGCACAGGTAAACAACTGATTGGTGGGCACTCGAGTAGAATTCAAAAGTCCATAAGAGAAGTTGGCTCTCTTCCAAGTAACACGTCATTTATTCGTAGTGAAAACATGGATTCGCACGAAATATGCACTATCCGGGCGTCAAAAATCGTGTAAGCAGTGCAGCAAGGACGGGAGAAAAACAGCGAGTGGCCGATTATCGGAAACATCAAAAGGATGCCCAATTTGTAAAGTTCACCTTCACGCGGGCGAATGTTTCGCTGCTTTTCATCACAACATGGCACTGAGGGGAAAACGCACCGTGGGAACAAAAACACGAAGTACGGAAGAGCAGCCCTTGACATCAGGCAGATGCATGGGAGCAGCCCACCGGGGTGGACGACTAAGAAAGGCGTACAACAAATAAATTTGGAACTTATTACAGCGTCACGAACTGTACAATAGTTTGAGTTGGTGAAAATATGTTATCGTTAATTTAGTTTCATGCTCAATCGGTATTTATACGTTTTAATGTCAGGATAATTCATCGGGTCTAGTCGATGGAAATACGTTTCTGCGTGAGTATATATACACGGCAAGTCCCTGCAGTTACGTTCGCAAGTTTGTTTTATTTCAAGTCATTAAAGATACGTTGAAATATTTAGTTAGTTAATCGGGTCATGTCGGTGAATATTTGTTGCCGTGTGAAGGTAACCCCGATCAAGTCGTTGCAGTTTCGTTCTCGTTCGTTTCAGTCGTTAAATATACGTTTTAAGTGTGGGCTTAGTTGTACGGTCAAGTCGGTTAATATACGATAGAGCTTGAATATAACATCAGTCAAGTCACAGAAAGTACCTTGTAATATGATACACATGCAGTTCAAGTCGTTGAATATACGTTGCAATTTGAAATGTACGCTGACAGGTCGAGTACGTCAAACACGTTTTCCCCGTACATGTCCCAAATATCCCCATACTCGCGCGTTTTTTTTCTTCTTACTTCGAACTTGCATTCATGTAGTGACCTTGTACTTGCTTGTAATGTGTTTTCAATTAAGCAATATTTATTTCAATGTTTAACACGTGTTTTATTGAGACTGTACAAAGGGCAAAACATCGCTACTTAACGACAGTAAAAAATGTGCCTATTTTCGCAAAAATGTCTGGCAGGATAGCATGCACAGATGCTGGCTACTGTAGTGCATTGAATCATGACCGTTTTTCACCGACTTAACCTGATAGCCTGAAACTCCCCTGACCGGAAAATAGGTTAATGCAATTATTGCTGTATTCATGCCGACAATAACATCAATCATTCAACATGATCAGTCGAGACAGGGCAAACATAGACTATGATTTGTGGGAATGATCAGTAATTTGAGGACTAAAAACCAAACAAGTACTATTTGTCATCGCTAAACTGAATAATTTAAATTGATGTACTGGTCAATATCAACTATTTCTGACCTTGATGTATTGGTCAATATCAACTATTTCTGACCTTGATGTACTGGTCAATATCAACTATTTCTGACCTTGATGTACTGGTCAATATCAACTATTTCTGACCTTGATGTACTGGTCAATATCAACTATTTCTGACCTTGATGTATTGGTCAATATCAACTATTTCTGACCTTGATGTACTGGTCAATATCAACTATTTCTGACCTTGATGTACTGGTCAATATCAACTATTTCTGACCATGATGTACTGGTCAATATCAACTATTTCTGACCTTGATGTATTGGTCAATATCAACTATTTCTGACCTTGATGTATTGGTCAATATCAACTATTTCTGACCTTGATGTATTGGTCAATATCAATTATTTCTGACCTTGATGTACTGGTCAATATCAACTATTTCTGACCTTGATGTATTGGTCAATATCAACTATTTCTGACCTTGATGTATTGGTCAATATCAACTATTTCAGACCTTGATGTACTGGTCAATATCAGCTATTTCTGACCTTGAAATCAATCGAATTAGAATGTCATGTATTGTACGGCATAAATTTAATTTTATTCATTTTATTTTTACTATATAGTTTTATTATTTCGTAATTGTTATTGCGTACATCCTATCTCCACATAAATCTTAACGAAAGGTATATATAACAAGATTTCAACGAGATCCCCTCTGACTGGTTTAGCCAACCAATCATATACCAGCTTTCTATAGCACGCCCGTTAAGGTCACCGGCTAGAAAAAGGTAACAAACACACTTAAATGACTGATTCTACCGATGTTAGAGATGAAAACATTTAGGTAAAACATGGCTTTTCGTTAAGTCTATGATTATATTGTGGCTTAAATAGTTTCAGTTTAGATAGTTAATATGGAAGTAATAATTTGTTACGAACGTTTGACTGACAACCGGAAACTTTTTGCAGGTACTTGCAATGGAGACAGGTGCCAAGGAATGGACATGAATTTCAACCTTCAATGGCAATTACAAAATTTATCCGAGTATCTGAGCACCTTTTCCGGACATTTTCCCTGGACAAATTTTGATTGTCTTCAAAACAAAACCCATGTCACATGACAATTTTTCTTTTTGTACATTGTAATTGTTAATAAAGAGACATTTTTATGTTTCTCTCTGCTAAAAGAAATCAACAGGTCTGGACTACAGTGTAAATTCAAGTATAGCAAAAAATATTTGCAGAGGAGGTATTAGGTCACAAATGTATACATCAGCCTGCATCCAATGGGGTGCAACACATCAAAAAAATAAAATTTAATTTGAACAGATAGCATTTGGGAGATACATTACCAATGATATTGATTACAAGATAAATGATTTACTTCATTGAACACATACAACAATGCATATTCCCACTGGGACCAGTGACATTTGAATGTGTATCACCAGAAATCATTCAAGTAGAAATTTTTTTTATCAGATTTTGACTACTACTTTCTTAATATTGCCATCTTTTCACACAGGACATCTGTTGTTCGCACTAAGGGAAGATTTTATACTGATGACTTAGGTGACCAAGTTTGATAATGTTTGGAAAAGAATTAGTAAAGTTATTGTGCACACATTAACAATTATTAACAATGACAGACATTTTCCCCTCAATATACCTTCCCCTTTCATCTTTGATGATGTGGGCAAGGTAAAAACAAAATGACTGCTAGTTAGCCATCTTTGATCCGATCTAACATGTGTAATGTACATTTTATATACCAAGTTTGAATAAAAACTGATGAAGCATGCATAAGATACCACATTTGATAATGACCAACCCCACAAATCGGTTTATTTTATTAGAACTCATAAATTTCATCAGAAATAATAAATTCTGTTCACTGGAATTGGGTTAAAAAGAACTTACCACCTCCTCCTCCACCATTGCGACTGCCAAAACCGCCGCCACCGCCACCACCACCAAAGCCTCCACTTTTTTGGCCAAAGCCACCACCGCTGCCACCAAAACCTCCATCGCCACCAAATCCACTAGACTGTTGAATGAAGAACAAGAAGGTTTATAGTCCACAAACTATGACGTACTTCAGATCCCATGTCTGCCCATGTCTCTTGGCACAGTAGCCTATTTGTTAATCTAACTTGGTAAGATGACAAATCATCAAATGTGATATTTGGTATAATTCTAGCATGTCCGTTTCTCAGTGTTCTCCAGGTTTCATAATGCATGCATGGCACACACATCATGCTGTGTTTTTAGTATTAATAAAACGTGCATAGCAAAGAAATAAATGTACATGCCAGCAATTTCACATACTGTTTTAACGCCATGCAATGCAATGTTCGTCCCTTTACTTTATATTTCATAACATGGGAACAGAAATTAGACATACAAATTTTATTTACATTCACAGATTCCTGAAATTGTAGTTTATAGTTTGTATGATGAGGAGATGGACTTATTCGGCATACAATGTTGGCCGTTATCTGTATTGTCATTGCCGCCATTTACTCTTGGCATTTTTTTCCAGAGTTCTGTGAATATCTTTACTGTCATCTCAAGAAAGAATGAAACAACATCGTAACATAACAGTTTTTCTAGCAATATTGAAATACTGTTTCTCAAGACTAC